CTGCGGCGGGAGAGAGGCCGCTCCAGGACGCATATTGCTTTCACGCCTTGCGGCGGTCCGCCGAAAGTTGCGAGGACGGCTCAGAGGAGCCACGGGCGCTGGCTGGGCGGGGGTCGGGTGGCGTGGTGCTCGTGTTTTGTTGCGGTCCGCTCGGTCTCGGCTCCTGGGGGTCCCTTGTAAGAAAGGTCCTCGCAAGCGTGATGCCGCGCATCGTCTTAGACTTCTCAGGAATAGGATCGGCCCCAGCTCAGGAGCGAGCTTTGGGAGGTCATCCCCGTTGAAATGTGGTCGGCTCACGCGGGCTGGACGTCCGCCACCGCGTGGTCCCATTTTTGTTCGTGCCATCGGTACCGTTTTTGGGCTGCCTTATCGCTCAGCGATAACGGACAGTCGCAGGGCCGATTGGAGCCAATCTGAGGAGGAGGAGGAGGAGGAGGAGGAGGAAGAGGAGGAGGAGGAATAACTGCTGGAAATGCAGGATGGGTCGGAGGAGAAGGACGAGGGCGAAACAATTGGAGGAGAAGGAGGAGGAGGGGGAGGAAGAAGAGGAGAGAGGAGAGAGGAGAGAGGAGGAGGAGGAGGAGGAGGAGGGTGAGGAGGAGGAGGAAGTAGGAGGAGGAGGAGGAGGAGGAGGAGGAGGAGGAAGAGGAGAGAGGAGATCAGTGAGATGAGAAGGAGGAATAGGAGCAGGAGGAGGAGGAATGGGGAGGTCATGCTCGACATGGAGGATGAGGAGGATGAGGAAGGGGGGATGGTGAGGATGCCGGTGATGATTTTGATGCTGATGATTCTGATGATGTTGATGATGATGATGACGATGACGATGATGATGGTGATGATGATGGCGACAGGAAAAAATGGAGGACATGGAGGATTAGGATGATGATGAAGATGAGGAATCGCAGGATGATGTTGATGACGATGATGAGGACGACGGTGGTGATGATGATGCTGATGCTGATGATGCTGATGATGATGCTGATGCTGATGCTGATGCTGATGATGATGATGATGATGATGATGATGGCGATGATGTTGATGATGATGCCGCTGATGATGAAGATTTTGATGATGATGCTGATTATTATGATGGTGATGAGGATGTTGATGACGACGATTCTGATGATGCTGACGACGACGTCGGTGATGATGCTGATGGCGATTGTGATGATGTTGATGTTGATGATGATGATGATGATGCTGCGCATGATGATGATGATGATGATGATGATGATGATGATGATGATGATGATGATGATCATGATGATGATGATGATGATGATGATGGTGATGGTGATCGTGATGATGATGATGATGATGATGATGATGATGATGATGATGATGATGATGATGATGATGATGATGATGATGATGATGGTGATGATGCTGATGATAAAGAAGCTGCTGATGATGGTGACTATGATGATGATTATGATGGTGGTGATGATGATGGTGGTGATGATGCTGATGCTGATGATGGTGAGGAGGAGGAGGAGGAGGAGGACCAGGACGAAAGGGAGGAGGCAGGAGGGTTGATTACGAGAAGGAGGAGGGGGACGAGGATGCTCGCCGTCTCTCGCTGCGCGCCGGGCCGCCAGAAGATCTGGCGCCGGCCCCCCCGTGCGCGAGGATGGATTCCGCTTGTCGTGCGACTTTCCTGTCCCTCAGCCGTCCTCCCTCGGCCCTCCTTCCTCCTCCCCTCTCACACCAGCTCTTCCCTCCTCCCTCCCCACTCCCTTGCCGTTCCTGGCTGCTTCCCTGCCTCCCATCCGTCCTCTTCCCTTTTTTGCCTTTCCCACCTCCCCCACTCCTCCTCGTCATGATTCTCATCCTCCTGCTGCCCCTTTCTCTTTCTTTTCTCCCTTCTCTCTCTCTCTCTCTCTCTTTTTCTGTCTCTCGCATTATCTATCTCTCTATCTCGTTCTCTTTCGTGTTCGTGTCATCTCTATCTCTCTCTATCCCTGCTGCCTCCGCCTGGTTACCCTTTTCCGCCCTTGGCTTCCCCATTGTGTAGTTCGTCATCTTTCTTGTCGACATAATTGTTTTATTTCCTCCCTCCATGTCTTGGGTCTATCTCTTTTTATTTATCCTCATCCCTGCTCATCCTTCTTCCGAATGCGCATGCGCTTTATCCTCATCCCTCCCGCTTATCCTGTTCTCCAGTCTCCCTCATTCTCTTTCTTAGCTCCACCTCCCCCTTCATCCTTCCTCTTATCCCTCTCTCTCTCTCTCTCGCTCTCTGCTCCCCCCATTCATTCTTTGTCGTGCCCCTTCCCTTGCCCCATCGTGTCTTCCTCCCCCTCCTCCTCATGTTCATCCCCATACGTTTGATAATGTTCATCCTCCTGCTCACAATTCTCCCTTACCAGCATCCTTTCGCTCCTCCTTCCAACATTCTGCCTCGTCTTTACCCTCATCACTCCTCGACGTTGTCCTGCTCCGCATGCTTCTCGCGCATTTTTTGTCGCTTTCCTCCCTCCCTCTCCCCTCGCCCCTGCTGCCTCTGCCTCGCCCTCCTCTCCTTTCCGCCCCTCCACAAGCCTCCCCCTCGATCCCATCCTGCTCTCCCCCCCTAGTAACATCTCCTCCCCCCGCTCCCTCTCCTCCTTCGATCTCGCTCCTCCTCTTCCTCTGCACCTCCTCCCCTCTGCCCCCTCCCCCGCAGCCCCGCGCCTTCGCGCCCGGGCCCGCGCCGCCCACCCCCCGCTGCCTCGAGGGAAAACAGGGCGGCGGCGCTCTCGCCCCGAGGGCGCCGTCGGTGGATGAGGAGGAGGAGGAGGAGGAGGAGGCTGCTGCTGCTGCTGCTGATGATGATGATGATGATGATGATGATGATGATGCTGATGCTGATGCTGATGCTGATGCTGATGATGATGATGATGATGATGATGATGATGATGATGATGATGATGATGATGATGATGATGATGATGATGATGCTGATGCTGATGATGATGATGATGCTGATGCTGATGATGATGATGATGATTAGGAGGAGGAGGAGGAGGAGGAGGAGGAGGAGGAGGACCTCCTGATCTTCCCTTCTCCCCCGTCCTGCACGTCAGAGGAGGGACCGCCGCCGCCGCTCCGCCTGGCGAGCTCTCGTCGCCCAGGCTGGATTTTCTCGTCGCAGGTCTTGCCACGGCGCCCCCCTGGAGAGGTCCATGGAGCACCAGCACATCTCCCTCGAGCATATCTCCCTCGACACATACACACACTCTCTCACGCTCACACAACAACAACACCACCATCAACAATAACAACAACACACCACCACCACCAACAACAACAGGAGCTTTCGGTTCGGGCCGATGCTGGGTCCCCCTCCCCCTGGCGGCGCCTCCGGCGCCGCCCCTTGCGCGCTCTGCTCGCCAACGAAGGGGTGCCCAGCGCCGATTTGAGCAGTCTGCGCAGACCTCCAAAAGGTTATGCTTATGCGTTGTTGCTTCTCTTCCGTTCCCGCTGTGATGTTGCAGTGATGTTTCATCCCCATGGGAGGAGAACGAGGACGAGGAGGAGGAGGAGGAGGAAAAGGAAAGGGAGGAGGAGGAGGAGCCCACCTACCTCCTCGCGGGAGGAGGCTGAGGATGCGGATGAGGATGAGGATGAGGATGATGATGATGTTGCTGATGATGATGATGATGCTGATGCTGATGCTGATGATGATGCTGATGATGATTATGATGACGATGCTGATGCTGATGCTGATGCTGATGCTGATTATGCTGATGATGATGCTGATGATGATGATGATGATGATGATGATGATGATGATGATGATGATGGTGATGGTGATGATGGTGATGATGATGATGATGATGTTGATTATCATGATGGTGCTGATGATGATTATAATGCTTAAGCTGCTGCTGATGATGATGATGATGCTGTTGACGATGCAGATGATGATGCTGACGATGATGATAATGATGATGATGATGAGGAGGAGGACGAGGAAGAGGCGGAGCAGGAGGAAGAGGAGGAAGAGGGGCTAGCGACCATGCCAGGCCCCTGGGGCACTCAGCCAGGGCGGCCCGCCGCGAACTGCGGATCCTGGCGGCGGGGTCGAGGGAGGAGGTCTCCGAGGTCCCTGCTGCCTTTTGTGGGCCTCCTGGGGGCCTCCTAAGGGGCCCCTCGCCGCCACGACCAGGTTCAATCGATAGGCAAGCGTCAACGACTGAGATGAAGCACCACACGCTTTTAGGATGACGCTCGGTCGTTTGTCAAAACGTGTGATGCGTCATCTTGGCGGATCGCAATCTTTTGTTTCCACCACCGGGTGTTCTCACAGAAAGACCTGCGACGATTCATCACATGATTACGGATTGTCAGCGAGAACGTGGGATGCTTCCTCGAAGCCCTGGTTCGGAACTCAGGGCCAAGGGCCAGCCTCCTGGGGGCAACGGGGCCACCAGGACCGGGCGCACGTCAGCACGGATCGGGGAACGTGCCCCCCCGAACCATACCAAGCCCGTGCTCCTCGATGGGGCGACGCAGCGCGCCGATCCTCTGTGACTGCGCAGCCGGGACCCGTCGCCACTTGCACGCGCCTCGCTCCACGGCGTGCGCCTCGCCGAGGTCGAGGGGCGCCCCCCTCCTCTCCCCGGCCCCCCTGCTGCTCCCCCGCCCCCCGGGCACGCGCTCGGCGCCCGCTCCCCCCCTCCCCCCCCTCCAGCCCGCCCGCCCCCTCCTCGCGGCCTGCCCGCGGCGCTCCGCTCGCCCCGCCCTCGCCTCCCCCCCCCCTCGCCCTCGCCGCCCGCCCGCACCCCCGCCGCTCCCGCCGCGCCCTCGAGCCGCGCTCCGCGAGGGGCACGACCGCTGCTCCTCCTCCTCCTCCTCCTCCTCCTCCTCCTCCTCCTCCTCCTCCCTCCTCCCTCCTCCTCCTCTCCCGGGGGCAGTCGCGAAGAGTCCGGACCGCCGCTCCCCCGCCACCCATGCAGCGGCCTGCTCGGCCCGGCGCGGGCCCCGGCGCGGGCCCCTCCCCCCCCCGGGGCGGGGCCATGAAGTCCCTCCTCAAGTGCCTGCGGCCCTCCGTCCCGGGGTCCGTGCCGGTGCCCAGCGCGTCGGCGCCGCCCCGCCCCCGGCCTCCCCGCCCCGCCGCCGCGCGCCACGTCCCGGGAGGAGGAAGAAGGCGGCAACGTCAGCAGATGGCATAGCGCATACGAGCACGGATAATGATATGAGTTATGATCATAACTGGCCACATAAGAACCGCGGAATCACAAAATTATCCCGGCAAAGCAACCGAACTGTGTAGGAACATATCTGGAAGCATTCCCCGTAAGATTCAGATGATCATCCAGTTGTAGAATTTTGCTGTTCTCGCAGTCGTAGTCGCATTCGCGATGACAGTCGCAGTGGCAACGGCAGTCGCAGTCACAGCCTCAGCCTCAGCCTGCCTCAGCCTCAGCCTGCCTCAGCCTCAGCCTCAGCCTCAGCCTCAGCCTCAGCCTCAGCCTCAGCCTGCCTCCTCAGCCTGCCTCAGCCTCAGCCTCAGCCTGCTTCAGCCTCAGCCTCAGTCTGCCTTCAGCCTCGGCCTCAGCCTCAGCCTGCCTCAGCCTCAGCCTGCATCAGCCTCAGCCTCAGCCTCAGCCTGCCTCAGCCTCAGCCTCAGCCTCAGCCTCAGCCTGCCTCAGCCTCAGCCTCAGCCTCAGCCTCAGCCTCAGCCTCAGCCTGCCTCAGCCTCAGCCTCAGCCTGCCTCAGCCTCAGCCTCCTCGCCTCAGCCCTCAGCCTGCTCAGCCTCAGCCTGCCTCAGCCTTCAGCCTCAGCCTCAGCCTCAGCCTCAGCCTCAGCCTCAGCCTGCCTCAGCCTCAGCCTGCCTCAGCCTCAGCCTCAGCCTGCTTCAGCCTCAGCCTCAGTCTGCCTTCAGCCTCGGCCTCAGCCTCAGCCTGCCTCAGCCTCAGCCTGCATCAGCCTCAGCCTCAGCCTCAGCCTGCCTCAGCATCAGCCTGCCTCAGCCTCAGCCTCAGCCTGCCTCAGCCTCAGCCTCAGCCTGCTTCAGCCTCAGCCTCAGTCTGCCTTCAGCCTCGGCCTCAGCCTCAGCCTGCCTCAGCCTCAGCCTGCATCAGCCTCAGCCTCAGCCTCAGCCTGCCTCAGCATCAGCCTGCCTCAGCCTCAGCCTCAGCCTGCCTCAGCCTCAGCCTCAGCCTGCCTCAGCCTCAGCCTCAGCCTGCTTCAGCCTCAGCCTCAGTCTGCCTTCAGCCTCGGCCTCAGCCTCAGCCTGCCTCAGCCTCAGCCTGCATCAGCCTCAGCCTCAGCCTCAGCCTGCCTCAGCATCAGCCTGCCTCAGCCTCAGCCTCAGCCTGCCTCAGCCTCAGCCTCAGCCTGCTTCAGCCTCAGCCTCAGTCTGCCTTCAGCCTCGCCTCAGCCTCAGCCTGCCTCAGCCTCAGCCTCAGCCTCAGCCTCAGCCTGCCTCAGCATCAGCCTGCCTCAGCCTCAGCCTCAGCCTCAGCCTCAGCCTCAGCCTGCTTCAGCCTCAGCCTCAGCCTCAGCCTCAGCCTCAGCCTCACTCAGCCTGCCTCAGCCTCAGCCTCCTCAGCCTCAGCCTCAGCCTCAGCCTCAGCCTCAGCCTCATCAGCCTCAGCCTGCCTCAGCCTCAGCCTGCCTGCCTCAGCCTCAGCCTCAGCCTCAGCCTCAGCCTCAGCCTCAGTCTGCCTTCAGCCTCGGCCTCAGCCTCAGCCTGACTCAGCCTCAGCCTGCCTCAGCCTCAGCATCAGCCTGCCTCAGCATTCAAAATGTGGCCCGGGAATGAAGTTCTGGGAACTCGAAGAACGCGAAGTGGCCTACAGTTGGCTCCGGGCATTCAAAATCATGCCCAGGAATTGAGTTCTGGGAACTCGAAGAGCACGAAGTGGCCTACAGTTGGCTCCAGGCATTCAAAATGTGGCCCGGGAATGGAGTTCTGGGAACTCGAAGAGCACGAAGTGGCCTACAGTTGGCTCTGGGCATTCAGAATGTGGCCCGGGAATGGAGTTCTGGGACCTCGAAGACCACGAAGTGTGTAATTGTTTGCTTAACACGACTTCCGCGGATCCCTGTCCGGATGCCGCCCAGACCCCCTTGGGGAGTCATGATGCTATCTTTTGACACTGCTAGAAACCTATCAGTCTTCGCTGTTAGGTAAATACAATCATAGTGTCCATAAAGGCCTCGCCCCCTGCCGCCGGCCCCCTCTCTCGGATAATGGGCAGCGCAAGAGCGAAATCATGAGGCCTTGGCGCATCCGTGAAGCAGCATCGGGATTTCACGTTGAGATTCGGATGATGGTGTTGAATTCGGTGTTGTATTTCGAGCTTGCTCGCGTGTGCTGTGCAAAAATCCCATGTTTTGTTTACCCTTACCCCACCGATCTGCGTGAGGGGTGCCACCGAATTTCAAGACATGTGGCAAATCCCGTGTATGTTTTTCGACCCTGACCCCGCCGATCTGCATGAGGAGTGCCACCGAATTTCAGAAATGTGGCAAATCCCTTGTGTGTTTTGGACCCTCTCCTCGCCGATCTGCGTGAGGTGTGCCACCGAATTCTGGAAATGTGGCAAATCCTATGTGTTGTTCGACCCTGACCCCCGCCGATCTGGTGAGGGGTGCCGCCGAACTTAGAAATGTAGCAACTCCCTTGTAGTTTTAGAGTTTGTCCTTGCTGATCTGCGTGAGGTGTGCCACCGAAATTCGAAAATGTGGCAAATCCCTTGTGGTTTGAGAACCTGACCCCGCCGATCTGCGCCGAATTTTAGCAATGTGGCAATTCATTGGTTTTTGGACCCTGACCCGCCGATCTGCGTGAGGGGCGCCACCGAACTTCTAGAAATGTGGCAAATCCCATGTGTTTTTGGACCCTGACCCCGCCGATCTGCGTGAGTGGTGTCAATTTCGCCCCCCCCAGAAGTTCTGAGACCCCTCCCGGGAGGTGCTAACCAGGGCGGTTTTCGGCTCCCCCCCCTCGCGCGGTCTACAACAAGGAACAGTAAGCAACAAGAAGCAGAATAGCAGAATTGTAACTGGGGAAACTGGAAGCTGGAACTGGCGCAGGGAACAGCAAACCCTGAGCCTACAGCCTGGTGGCCGCACAAGGGGGCCGGCGGACTTCTATTACGATTAAGCATAATGATAAGAATCAATCGTTTTAGTAATAATTCGAATAGCCTCTGTCGGCGTGTGTGAGGGGCTGGCGTCGTCGTCGTCGTCGAGTCGAGTCGATGGGACGCCCCTTCCTTTTGATTCCTCCCCCGCCAGGGGGGGGGGTAGGGGGTGGGGGGGGGGTCCCGGGGGTTGTGCCCCTCCCCCGGGGAGAGCACCCTGGGAAAAGGGAGCACCCCGGGAGAAGCTTTTAGCTCCGAAGCGTCTGCGTCGTCATCGTCTTCGTCTCCCTAAGGGTCCGCGGCACCTGCCGCAAGGCCTTCGCATTGAAACGAACAGTAAGAATAAGGAGACGAAGACGTCGTCAGCTTCAGAGGAGGAAAAGCTACCCATACCTTCACCCTTCTTCGTTTTCAAGTTCTTGGCCGTCAAGGGAGGCCCTCGTCGCCACGTCCGGATTCGTTTTCAAATTCTGATCAGAACGCACACAGGAGAAGGTGCGGGGAGTAGCCGTATCGATGTTGTTCGATTTCCCCCAGTTGAACGCAAAACTCAGACCAGACCACGAACATCAGCCTCAGAGGGCATCGCAATATCACATGACGGTCGCGTGCCAGGCGGCGATGGACTGCACAGATTCATGCCAGAGATGCAGGAAGGCCTCTTCATCCCCCGCTGCCCGGACGGTGCCTTTTTCCCAGCGGTGCCCAGACATGGGCTTCGATCCGTATTTGGCGTGCCTCACTGCAGTAGTGTGCAGCATGGCGATCGAGAGGTGCCCCGGGGGGGGTGGGCGTCCCGCAGCAGCCCCCTGGTTTGGAGGCAACGGCGGCGTCGCCTCCCCCGCCGAGCCCGAAAGTGCTCAGAATCGCTCCCCGGACCCTGACCCGCTTCGCGAGGCGGATCTGGTCGTTGCGGCATCACAGGCCTCGGGCCTCATCGGGCACAAAAGAGTCCCTCCCTAACCCTGATGCCAGGATGAAGGGATGATAATTCTGGGCGGTGTGGTCTGATACATCTGCAGAGAAGACCCCCTTTTATCCTTAATGCTTTTGGCCTTCCTAGCTTGGGGTCCTTCCCAAAAGGTTGGAGGTCCTTTTTTGGTTAGTCACGATTGGCGGCCGTCACGATCGGGCATCCTTCGAGCGCCCGTGCCAAGGCGCAGCTGAGGGGAGCCGTCCCGGGCCTCGAAATCCTTCGAAAATTGCTCGACAGCTCTTCGGAAGCTTCTCACTAATTATGTGCCGAGGGCGAGTGCCTTTCTTATACTCCCTTCGAGGAGGGGGCAACGGGTATGGAAGGGGGCCGGTGACGTTGCATCTTCGGGGGACCTCGCCTGCCCTCCAAGTTGGCGTCTCTTCTTGTGCCCGACGCGGGCCCGATGCGGACTCGACCCGGATTTGGCGTGGATCCGACGCGGAGCCGACGCGGATTCGACGCGGATTCGACGCGGATCCGATGAGTCCGATATGGGTTCGACACGGATTCGACGCGGACAGGGCCCCGACGGGACAGAGAAGGTCCCCCTGAGGATGCACCATCAGGGACACATATCGGAAACTGGAACACCTACATTACCAGTGGCGGGCTGTTTTTCAATCCCAGGTTTTTTGGAGGGTCGAGGACGACGCTGGGGTGCTGTGGTGTATACTTTTTCCCCCGATGTCCCGGGAGCGCGACGACAAATGTGTACACCAGGATCCCGTATACACTGGAATCCGCGTTCCTGTGCGATTTTCGGCGCTGGGTCGAGAAAGGCGTCGGTGTATAGAGCTCGATTCCCTGACATGGTGCTGAAAGGTGCCAGCTGCAGAGCTCCAACACTCAGGAGGGAAACAAAAACACACAGGCACAATCAATCGTCGACTCCCCAGAACATACGGGAAACTATGGGAAGTGGGGGGGAAGACGAGAACCCAGAAAATATGGAAAAATATGGGGCATCCGTTAGGTGGCAAATGATGGGAGCTTTCTTTTTCACCCAATGGC